TTGCTCAATTTCTCGAGTGGCATTTGGCGGGATTAGTTGCAGTGTGTTTCACGCTAAAAGAGTTGTTGATACTCTTTTATACTAAATAGCAATTAATTGAGTGGGATCCATCGAAAGATCAATAATCCGCGCACGACGGTTTTTTGTGTGCGTTTATTATGACCCACCCTTGAACACAACAGTACAACTTTGATATTGATATTCGTACACGTAAATAATTCAACCTATAAAAGAATAATAAACTCTTGTATTTTATCTCAGGGATAATAATTTATTCAGGGGGCGTTTACTGAGTTTAATGTCACGTATTAAGAGCTCAACTCTAATCGTTCGGTTGATCTAAAAACGTCGAACACAGCACTATGAATCCCTCTATCGTTTTTCTTAAAAAAAAAGTGTGTTTTTAATATATATTTTAATGTGTGGTGTTTAGTGACCGTTAGTTTATGATTATTTGGAGATCGTGAGATGCGGTCTGGTGTGACGTAGGTTTTAGAAAAATATTTTTTTTATCGTGCCAACGTTTCGATCTTTATTGAGATCATCTTCAGGGCTCAAAGTGCTTTTTTCCATGTAGATGTGTCATTCTTGTGTGTCGTGTTGAGAGGGTTGTTGGTACTCTGTACTAGAATGACACATCTACACGGAAAAAAAACCTTTGAGCCTTGAAGATGATTCTCAATAAAGATCGAAACGTTGGCATGATAAAGAAAATGTTTTTCTAAAACAAACTTTACGTTGAAAATAAGTCAAAAGTAAACGGGGTGACAATTTCATTTCGTACTTTAACTCACATGTAATTAATTACACGTCATTTCTTCTTTAATTTATAACAATTAAGAGCATTGACAAATTAGCAGCCATAAATCATAGGCATTTCATTGATTCACATTCTGTCTCTCTCTCTCTCTCTATCTATCTATCTATCTAACTACCATTTTATCTATCGATCTAGTTTATCCATTTATTTTCTATATTTATCTATCTTTGCAATATCTTTCATTCTTGTTCTTCTCTTTCTTTCTTTCTAGCTATATATTATGTAGCTGTCTATTCCGTCATTATAATGTACCTAAAATTATTTTCTTTCAAACAATTTCTTCCCATTTTTTCTTTCTCTCTCGTCCACCATCTGAGTTTGCCACTGTCTTTCCTTTCTTTCTTCCTCCCACTCACTTGCTTTTTCTCTCGCTCTCTCTTAAATTCTTTGGCTCTGATTGTTCTTTCTCTGTCAATCTTTCTTCCTCCCTGCATTTTTTTTAAACCTCAATCTACTCTATCTATCTGTTGACCTTTCTCTCGCTCTCAGTCTCTCTTCCCTCTCTTTCTTTGTCACACTTTTTCTTACGTTCTCTTTCATTCTTTATGTTTTTTTTCGCTGTCACTTCTCTTCCTCCCTCTAATTACCTTACATTCTGCTTGTCTTTCCTTCATCCTTTCACTCACCTTTCCCTCTTCCCTCTCACTCTCTTCTTTTCTCTCTCTTCACTCCTCTTTCTCTCTTTCTTTTACAATATCTTTCATTTTCGCGCTTCTCTTCCTTTCTTCTTTTCTTCTATCAATCTATCTACATATGTATCTTATGTAATGTACCTACAATTACTCTCTCTACTATTTATGCATCTCATTAATTGAGCTATCTATTCAATTATTGATCAATATATCTATTTATCTATATCTCTCTTTAAATCTTAGTTTTGTAATAATTAAGTTGGTAATTTGGTTGTTACTGATCATATAGCTCTGCCGTTTCTAATTCTTTTTTGTTTTTCTCTTTTATCAATATGTGTGGTGGTTAGTGACCGTTAATCGATAATTATTCAGAAAATCGATGCGGTCTGGTGACCAACTCACGATTTCTGAATAATTTATTAATATGTTTAAAAAACAAGATTACAATTTAGAACACGATTCGTTCTTTATTTTTCCTTGATATAGAAAAAACATGGAAAAGGTGTGGTACGAGAAATTGTTGGTTAAAATCCAAGATAAGGTACCATAAACGTATTGCCTACTCATCCACTCCAAAGAAGGACATTCTCGGTAAAAAAAAAGATGAAACAATATTTCGTCTAAACAAATTAATGGAGGTGAACCGGATGGCAGCTTAGACCATTTCTTTGTAACTTTGTCACTCACGATTTTCTAAATCTGTACAATTTAACAACAGCACATTTGCCCAAGACGCCTCAGCTTTGAGCAAAGGGACTATGACACCATTGCCCGGGCCAAACAGGAATATGTGCCTACTACAATACAATTGGAAAGTGTCAATAAATGCGCAAAAATCCCAAATTGTGAATTCACTTATAATCAAAAAATTTCCATTCAATCAAGTTCGAAATGAAGAAAATACACAGGAAGATTCAGTCAGGTCCCTAGGCTTAATTTTGGACGCCAAGTTTACATGGAAAAAGCACAGCAATCTGTTCAAAATGGCCCGTTTCAGACAACTAAACTATCTGCTACAGAGCGAACCCATGCTGAAATAAAAAAAATTGCATATAAGCATTTTAAGCAAGTTGGAATTTTTAACGACTTGACAATAATCTCATTAGATTTTTTTTAGTTATCTTTAGAAAGTCTGGTAATGAAACTTTTCTGGGCTCACCAAGCTTTCGACAATTTACATCGCCAACTTCAGGGCCTATTTATGGAAAAATGCATACATTAACAGAATTCTAGTGAAATAAAGAATAAGAATTATATTTTTTCATAATAAATTCATAATTATATCCTTACTTTACCCAATGATGCAAATAAAAACATAATAAATACCTCTATAGGGTTTTGAGAAAGTCGGTGCCATTAATTACATTACACACACATTAATGGAAAGTTAATGTAAACAATGTTTGTAAATCCCAGGCCCTGAAGATGATCTCAATAAAGATCGAAACGTTAGCACGATAAAGAAAATGTTTTTCTGAAACCTACATCACACCAGACCGCATCTCACGATTTCTGAATAATTAAATAATGGAAAGTAAATGGATATTTTTAAAGCTATATACTACAACGCTAAAATGGTTTTGAATATTGACGGCCATCACTTTAAATGGTATATGATGCTCATTCCTGGTATGATGGACATAATTAGTTAAATGTCGCGGTATTCAAAGGAAAAAGATCTCACTGTCAGTATTGATGAAACCAAGTTCATAAGGGTAGTCAAAAGACGCTTAAAACCCTTCATTTTAAGAATTAGAATAAAATCTTAGGGAGAGTCCACTTTGGATCCTCAGGGAAGTTCCGTCATGATTGCGATCACTTTATTTGGCACCTGACAATGAAGAAGAATTTTAGTTACTTCTACGTCCGATTCTCGGGTCGCTAAATTAAGATTATTTGACGCATTACTAAAGCCAGTCTTAATGTACACTTTATAGGTTGAAATTTGGCCATTGCCCTATTTACATAATTTGGAAGAATCTTCAATAAGTTTGTACAAAATTTACTGTCTTGGTCTTCATCTACTACAAATTGTTTTTTGGCTGCAAGTATACTTCGAATGAGAAAACCTTCAAATACTGACTGCAGAAATTAATAAGTACTACGATACCTTACAAGTGGACAGTTTATGTTAATCTGATTCCGAATTCTATTGGCCAGGATATTATTTAATATAATAGTCCGTGCCGGCAAACTTTCAGTTTATAAATTTCTAGTCATAAAACAATCAAAACATCTTTGGTCACTGGATATTCATACGGCGCTCAATTCGAGTTATAATCCACATTTCAGAAATAGTAGCAATCTTAGTCTTGGCGACCACTACCTGCATTTACGAACGAGCATAAGTTGAGATTAATCACCCAGATTGAAATATGCAACATAAATAATACAGCCATTTATATAAAGAATACAAAATACGTCATTGATCCTCAAATATCATTCTCAATGTGTAATCGAAAAGAGGTAAAATCATTACAGCATTTCCTTTATAATTTATGACACTATTAGAAAAAACAATGTTTTTCCTATCTACCTCCTAAACGATCCTTCTTTGATTTATTATGTCCTAAAGTATTAGAAGAAGTTAATAAATTGTAATTTCAGCACAAAACTGAGACAATTTATTACAAAAGAGTTACTTAATACCATAAAATTGTAATAATGTGTTCACTTATTTATTTTTATTTACTTTTACTTTTTTCAATCAACTGTACCGAGAATGATTTGTCTTTTTTTGTTATTTTTAACTTCTTTTACCTATTGCGGAGGTTTTTTAATATTGTATTATTAGAAATTAGTATAGTTTTGTTTATAACTAATATTAATATTACATAATATTTTATTATAATTATGTTTTATTATTACTTTTTACTTATATTTTTGTACTTCTTTGTTCATATCTGTAATTCTGTGTGCTTGTAAAGGATGTATTTCCTATGGACAGATTATACATAAATAACAAATGATAATAAAATGAATAAATGACTCCAAATTATTGGACTGATTGCTTTAAAATCGTTATTACCCAATGATGTTTCTGACATTTCAGGCAATAGGCCTTATATTATTGTTGTTGTTGCAGTAATATGTATAAATTTTATAAAATGAACATGTCCATTGCTGAAATGAGGAGATTGGAATAAATTCCATTATTATTGGAGTCATTTTTTGTTTAGACGATTTTTTAGCCAATGACCGGCATGAAATAAGTGAATTGTGTGTCGTTTACACATGTCTTGAGGAAAATTTTTAATATACAGTAATAGTAGTAAGTTAAAGGAAGAATATTTGTTTATTCAATAATTTAATTGAAGCTGTTTCATTTTAACTTTGCTAAAATATAAAAAAATTAAATCAATTTGTTTTTTACAATTATAAAAAATGAAGAAAATCGACATTAATATTGAAAGGGTTTAATAATATGGCAGGTTTAAATAAATAATGAAATGCATGCACTGTAATAAATAAGATGAAGAGAAGCAGGGGAAAAATCACGATTGTGCTTTAGAAAAAGCCCAGAGAGGACTAGAGAAGAGTGTACTTACGGTACGTACGATGCGCCCTTTGCAAATGTGATAATAATCATGGTCTGGTTCGTGGGGGTTGAGGCAATGTTGTGCGCGCGCTCAAACTCGGAATTAAAGCTTTCAGCCGAAAGCAACACGTTGCAAATCACAAACCAGCCCCCACCCTATTTCTTCTCGGTTCTCGACAATCGATCACTGGGAGCCCCCTTAAAAAACATTTCAAAACTACCCCTCCACCGTCTAAAGCTTTGTCGATCATCACCCTTTGAGGGATGAGGGAAACGACTCATCCACAATGACCCTACGATTCGTCGGAGACACATGTGAGCTGTCAGCGGTAATGAGCTGCCCAAATACAAGGATAAACTGACATACACTGACAATGACGAATCTCACGAAATGTATCTATTTCAACAATTAACATCTCTTAAGAAAAATACTACCTCATTCTGCTTGTATTATAGCTAATTGTCTAACCCATTTGTTTCTAAAGCATCTCTACATATTATGAAACGCTAAGAACAAAACTTTTAAAAAGAATAACAAATTTCAACTGACCCAGTAGAGAGATCATCACAATAACAATAAAATGTTTTACGGTTATTATTACGGTCCACAATTCTTGGTTCCACATGCATTCACAAGGACGGAAGCACTAAAAAAATTTATCTAAATAATTGTTATTTGGAAAAATGTCGTACATGTACATCGATTTATTGGACTTTCAATTCTTGGCTGTCTGAAAATTGATACCTTTATTGTATCATCGTTATGATATATTGTGAGATTTTCCGTGTTTTCTGAGGGAAAGATTATTTGAAGAAAACAAGTTAAAAAATTTATGAATTTATTGCCCGTTTATATCACTCACGTGAATCTATGGTGTCAGATGCATTGATTGGCTGTCAGAGAATCATCTTTCAAAAATAATAGAAAATAGATTTGATCCACTAAAACACTTTAAACTTTATCATGTAATTTATAGATAGTAGTTTTGTTAAAATATATGCATTTATGTCAGTCACATTGTTCTAAGATATGTCAGATACACTGTGGGCGGTCAGAGAACAAATCATCTTTCAAAACTTACAAAAATGTATTAAAAAAATCCAGCAGAGAGATTTGATGCACTAAACGTTCTAATCTACAAAACAACATCACAAATAATTTATTGAACATTGCATTTGTCCACAATTATCGGTTCTCTGGGGGGTATTTATTAATTTATGTCGAGTTTGAAACTGTCTACTGAACGATTCACTAAATCATATCTGGCTTAATTAAACCAAAGTACAAGGTTTTGTCTTTTCCCTTGCAGCATTTTTTTCTGATCGGGCAGTTTTTAATTTTTTTATGAAAGGCAAAACTAAATAACCTTGTATAAATGGAATAAATTTGCTCACAACACTTCATAATTGTATCTTGACCATTTTCGATTATTTTGGTTTGCCGAAAATTTCGAAAAGGCCATCTTCAGTTGAGATCTAGCGGACGGGCATGGCAAAAATAAGCTCAGATCTCAAGGGGAAATCTTGTCGATTTAATAATGATTTGTGACTTATACCATTTTACAAGACCGGGCGGTTGTGCGTAAAGTATATTCGATGCGCTTACTCACCCGTCATCATTCATCAGGGATTTGTATATACATATTTGCATTAAAAAAATAATTTTACAATTTTAAATTTAGTATTGAGAACATTTGACTTTTATATTATCGAATTTGACGTTTCCATCATGCGAAAAAGCTAGATTGTTTTTAGTAGGCAAGCTTTCTATAAACTATTGCTCCTGAAACCCGTGTTATCGGGCAGTTTTTAATCTATTATGGAAAGGCAAAACTAAGTAACGTGGGATAAACAGAACAAATTTGCTCATAACACTTAATAATTGTATCTTGACCATTTTCGATTATTTTGGTTTGCCGAGCACTTCGATTTTGGCATCTTTAGTTGGCATCTAGAAGACAGGCACGGCAAAAAGAAGCTCAGATCTCGAGGGGAAATTACTTGTTGATTTAATAATGATTTGTGACTTATATCATTTTGCAAGACCGGACGGTTGTGCGTAAAGTATAGTCGTTGCGCCGTACTCAGCCGTCATCATTTCTCAGTTACGGATTAATATATACATATTTGCATTAAAAAAATAATTTTACAATCGTTAAATTTAGTAGTGGGTACGTTTCACTTTTTTTATTATCGAATTGGGACTTTACATCATGCAAAAAAAGCTAGAGATTTTATATATTAGGCAGACTTTCTACAGACTATCGCTCCTGAAACCTTTCTGATCGGGCAGTTTATAATCTATAATGCAAAGAAAAATAAATAACCAGCATTAATTGCACAAAGTTGCTCATAACGCTTAATAATTATAGCTTGACCGTTTTTATAATAATATGAGACTTATACCATTTTGCAAGACCGGACGGTTGTGCGTAAAGTATAGTCGATGCGCCGTACTCAGCCGTCATCATTCCTCAGCTACGGATTAATATATACATATTTGCATTAAAAACAATAGTTTTACAATTTTGAAATTGAATTTGACGTTTCCATCAAGCAGAAAATCTAGTTTTTTTTGTATAGAAGACAGGCTTTTTACAAACTATCGCTCCTGAAACTTTTTGACCGGGCAGTTTTTAATATAATCCAAGACAAAATAAATGACCCGGGAGGAATTGAACATTTAATAATTGTAGCACGTTCGTTTTGTATAATAATGTGGGACTTATACCGTTTTGCAAGATCTGACGGTTGTGCGTAAAATATACTCGATGCGCCGAACTCAGCCGTCATCATTCCTCTGCCACGAATTAATTTATATTTATTTGCATTAAAAAAAGTAATTTTACGATTGTTAAATTTAGTATTGAGAACATTTGACTTTTTTATTTTCATGTTTTCCATAATGGCAATAGAAGCTACAGAATTTTTTTTAGTAGGCAAGCTTTCTATAAACTATCGGTTCTGAAACCCTTCAGATCGGGCAGTTTTTAATCAATAATATAAAGCAAAAGTAAATAACCAGCATGAATTGAACAAATTTGCTCATAACACTTAATAATTGTAGCTTGACCGTTTTTATAATAATGTGAGACTTATACCATTTTGCAAGACCGGACGGTTATGCGAAAGTATAGTCGATGCGCCGTACTCAGCCGATGTCATTCCTCAGCTATGTATTAGTATATTATATTTTTTCATTAAAAAAATAATTTTACAATCGTTAAATTTAGTAGTGGGTACGTTTCACTTTTTTATTATCGAATTGGACGTTTCCATCATGCAAAAAAAGCTAGAGATTTTATATAGTAGGCAGACTTTCTACAGACTATCGCTCATGAAACCCTTCCGATTGGGCAGTTTTTAATCTATATTCAAGACAAAACTAAATAACCAGCATGAATTGAACAAAGTTGCTCTAACAATTATTCTAGCTTGACCGTTTTTATAATAATGTGGGACTTATACCATTTTGCAAGACCGGACGGTTGTGCGTAAAGTATAGTCGATGCGCCGCACTCAGCCGACGTCATTCCTCAGCTACAGATTAATATATACATATTTGCATTTAAAAAAAAATTTACAGTCGTTAAACTTAGTAGTGGGAAGTTTTAAACATAGCATTTGAAGTTTCTATAAAGCAAACAAGCTAGAGATTTTATATAGTAGGCAGACTTTCTAAAAACTTTCGTTCTTAAAACCCTTCTAGAAATATACATTTCTTTGTGTATTTCTTTCTTTCACACAGTTTTTTTGGGAGCAAATTTGAACGAACCACCGGAATATTAAGTACCTTGACGGTCCGTCATTTTAGTCGAGAGGGTATGAAGCCTGTCCCCGATGAAATTTAAAATACCTCGGTGAGGATTAGAGATGTGTTGACATGAAATATGGTTGTGAAAAATGGTTGAGTGTACGTCTGTGCGAGAATTGAGTGTATGTTTAAAGTAGATTGTGTATTTTTCCTCTGTTTTGAAGTCGTAGGGATTTTTTCTTTTAGAACTCAAACTTCCGTTGTGCAGGTATCAGATACTTTCCGGGAAAATTTTCGTTTATTTTATGAAATAATTCTTCCCAAAGTATACTATTGTATGAAGAGCCCAGTTACCTCAGCCTTTTCCTCGCTATTGCGGTGTAGTTGTGTAGAATATGTTATGTACGACCTAATCGACATTGGTTATCTGTTGATAGTCTCATTTTTTACAGTGATTATTTTTATCGGAAATTTCCTCATGACCTGGAACCCACTTTAGCTATTGGTAGATTTGTGCTTTTTATTGTATTTTCGCATTAATGTTGTATTCTTCTTGAAGACTTGAAGAAACTTTAGAACAGTCTTGCTATATGAAAGTAGAAAGCAGTAGTTGTACCGGTCATATTTTATAACAGTTCTTTCTTAATGTAATTTTATGCCAAAATGGTTTTGGGTGTGTTGTTGCCTTATTGCCTGAAATACCTTTATACCTTTGGCTTTAGGCGATTTGTAGGTTGAAGTTTCTTTAGGTAATTTAGACAGTTTCAGACGTTTTAAGTTCATCTAGTAGTGAATGGGTTTGTGAAAGATGTCGTGGAAACACGCAGTACTTTGACCATCCTCCACCTTTAAGATTAACTTCGGTACCTGCCTAATGTCGATCCTTTAACTTACTGACTTTAGCAGGGGTAACAAACAGGGACAGTATCGCAGGCGAATTAAAATTTTTATGTGTGGTGATTAGTGACCGTTAATCGATAATTATTCAGTAATCGTGAGATGCGGTCTGGTGTGATGTAGATTTCAGAAAAACATTTTCTTTGTCGTGCCAACGTTTCGATCTTTATTGAGATCATCTTCAGGGCTCAAAGTATTTGTCTTCTGTGTAATTGTGCCATTCTTGCGTGTCGTGTTGAGAGTGCCATTCCACAATTAAAATTTTTATTGATAACTTCCCACTGGACGAGTATGGTTATCTGATTACAAGAATGACTTAATTAAAAAATAAAGAATAATTAATTCCCAATAGTTTTATTTTATTTCGTAAACGCTCTTCGATGATTCTCTGAAAGGACGAAGAGTTAGCTGTTAGATTTCAATACAAGTTGTTAAACAATGTTTTAACAGAGAGAACATTGTAGAGGCGTTGCCATCAGATGTTGGGCAATGGT